GGTGTGCAATTGTATTGGGAATATAACCAAAATGAAAATGCATACATTGTGCCAAGATGAAAAATGATGTAAGAATTATATAAAATAAAATATTTAAAAAAAAAAACTGTAATCTCTGCCTTTCCTATATTGTTTCCTAATTGTATTGAAGTTCCTTCCCAGTAAAGTCTCATATGTTTTGTGGTGATGCGGTGGACGGCAGAACCCATTTAGAGCAGTAGGTTTGTGGTGTCTGGGCTGCTCCTCTCCTTGCCCTGTAACAAAATCATATGGTGCTTTTATTATCCTCTGACTTATTTAGATAGCAAAATATAGATACTCTAGGTCAGTCCATGTTGTTGCAAACAGCAGGATTTCATCTTCTTTATAGCTGAGTAGTCTCCCACCTGTATAGATATATATATATATATATATATATCATATATATCACTTTTTTTATTTTATCATCTATCAGTGGGCTCTGAGTTTGTTTCTCTGTCTTGAGTGTTGTGAATAATGTTATGATGAACATGGTGTTCCATATATCTCTTTGAATTTAAGTTTGTATATTTTTGTGGTAAAGCTTGACAACTAAAGAGAAGTCAGCTAGCTGGGTCATGGATATTTCTTTCTTAATTTTGTTGAGGGATTGCCACACTATTTCCATGATTAAGAACAGTTTAAATTTGTAACAACATCTACAAAGAATTTTTTTCTCTCCACAACTTTACCATCACTTGTTTCTTGTCTATTTTTAATAACCCTCTTAACAGATAGGAGATGATCTTCATTTTGCTTCTGATTTGCTTTCTGAATAGGAGAGGAAGAACACACGTTCATGCCTGCTGCCATCTCTGTCTCCTGTGGACAAGGCGCTCTTCAACATCTCTGTCCACTTTTCAATGGGGACATTGTTCTTTTGGTGACGAGTTTAATGAGTTCTTTATAAAATTTCTATATTAAAGCCTTGTCTGACATATGTAAGTATTTTTCTCCAAATCATTCGCTTTTTTAATGGTGGTTCTTTCACTCTATAGAAACCTTTTAGTTTAATATTGTCCCATTTGTTTATATTTGCTTTTGTTTCCTTTGCCAATGTAATCCGATTGACAAAAGTCATCTCTAAGGCTGATTAAGGAACTGTGTCATTTTTGTTTTTCTGTGTATTTTGTGATTTCAGAACTTATATCCATGTCTTTACTCCACTGTTGGTGGAAATGAAGACTGTTTCCTTTCCTAGAAAAGTAGGATAGGTATTTCTGAAAATACTAAAAATTCTACCTGATGATCCAGCAATCCCATTCTTAGATATCTCTCTGAAGTATAAAAACACTAATATGAAGGGATATGTGCACTCCTATGTTCATTGTAATAGTATTTTCAATACCAAAGTGATAGAAGCAACCTAAGGGTCCAACAATAGATGAGTTGGTTACAAAAATATGGCGCACAACACACAAATACTACTCAGCTACTAAAAAAAACCCCACCGGATTAAATCTTCCTCTTTGCAATAATATCGATGGTACCAGAAGAGACTATGACTCACAGAATTAGCTAGAAGAAAGATAATACCAGGGAGAGTAAATGGTTTGTCCACAGATCCAAAACTATAGCCTAACTTGAAAATAAAACAAAAATCTCTTACTTAGAGAGACCAATTTTCCATCAACTACTTAAAATTTATGGGCACAGAATGACTACATCTATTTCAAACATAGTGTTTTTCATTAGACTGTTATTTCA